ATTTATCGCAATTATGAAAATTACCGGTCAGTTGTTTTAATTAAAATATTAGCAATTAGTGAAGCATGAAATAAGCATTATTAAATATTTATTATATTACTAAAATAGATGAGTAACTGATATAATGAGTAACATGCTGAGAAACTATTCAACTACACATATATATGCCAGTAAAGTCTTATAAATACCTTAATTAGATAATGATCCTACCGCGGCTGCGGTTATCTATCCACTTAATTACATAACGGAGATAAAGATTTTTTCAGAAAATGCTTTTATAATATCGACTATTATCTACCATAACTTACCTGTATAAGTATATATATAATCAAATATATTAAAGTTTTTTTTCGCTCAGACGAACATTCAAGTTTCTTCATCCGTTTTTCCGCTTGCTGTGTTGTCACTATTTAAAAATATTCATTCGGTTATTCTTAAAATATCTCTTTCGGCCAATTTTCAATCTAAATTTAAATCAAGAATTATCAAAATGATAGAGCATCGTTATCAAAATAACATTGAGATATCCTTAGTTAATCATCTAATAAAAATCTGTTAACGATGTACACGAGAGATAGATTTGAGCCAAAAAATTTACGATTGCACTTATGTCACGTAAAATAGAGCAGAGGTAATATTAATAGACCATCTCGAATGCACCTGAACCGTTGATTCAGTTCTCAGTTTTTATCAGTTTTAACATTGTTAAATATAATTTTTGAATCCTAAGAAATACCTGCCATCTTTTTAGAAGGTCAATTTTGCTAGAATAGTATTGTACTAGACACATTAGATCACATTTTTTAGTAATTCATATCATATAACAATCCAAGGGGTAAATTACAAGAGGCTTCAACATTTCAATATATCTTTCTCGACAATCAGTAGCATGAATAATATCGACATTTATAGAATATTACTAGACATTTAAAAATGAATGTAAGAACTATAATCTAAGAATACTTACGTTAATAGTGACTTTCTTTTTTATATATAAGGTAATGTTAAAATCATGTAATGTACTTTATTTCTATAAGTAGTCAAATTATGACGGCTAAATGTCTCTTTGAGTCGATGCCACTAAAATAAATAAACTAGTGGGGTGTGTGGCATCGTGCCTTAAGGCAAGTTGCTGGAATTTCCCGTACCGTAACGAAATGTTCGAGGAATATTAAATGTTTTCAAATAGACTATTATTTATACGTCTAATACTTATAAGAATTATATAAACTGAATTGCAAAGTTGAAATTATTTGTTTAAAGTATATTTGAACTTCAGTCAGAATTAAAATTAAAATCTGAATTATTTTCGATATACAAAAATTTTTTTTTTGAAAAAAAAAATTGAAAAAAAAAATTTTGAAACAAATTTTTTTTTCCAAAATCAATTATTTTGTTAAAACAAGCAGAAAGTTCTTTGTATCTTCGAAATGGCTGGGCCTGCCTTTGCCAAAAACTAATAATCTATTCTCCCAATCATTACAAATTGAATGTTTTTTTAGATCATTCAAATCGGATGCTCCGTTTTCTCAAAAACTCGATTTCTATTTTCTGCACTCTTTGCTCTTTATCTCCGTAATTGCTGGACCTGCCTTTGCCAAAAACTAATCAGCACATCTCCCTATCAATAGGAATCGAATGTTTTTTGAACCATTCAAATCGGTTGATCCGTGCGCCCGAAAACGTGACTGGAAAATTGTATCCATACATACATACACACACACACATCCATTTTTTCTGAGGTATGCCAAAATGTTCAGAAATCTTTAAAACGTCGATAAATGCAAAAAATTTCAATTTCGATTTTTGGACGATTACAATAACTTACCATACGGAAAGTTAATAAATAAATAAATACACTTTTTGTACAACATCGTTGGTGTCCATCTCATAAACCTTCCAATGGTAGTGATATTAAAGATTGGTGTTCAACATACCCTTAGCTAAACACCATGAGAAAAGTGTACTCAATATAATTCACTTATAGAATTTGAATTTCAGTTGTTTTATTTAGTTATTATTCAATCAATACCTTGTATATAAATTATAATGCTAATTCAATTCAAAATCATGTATTGAATTATTATTATTATGCTCTGCTATATATTAAGGACTATAAAAACCAGATCGACTAATCATCATCAAAAATGAAAAAATCACCTGAATCGAGAAGACAAAAATAAATTTTGGTCAATTAACTTGATCCAGTAAAATTGCATCTAATAGAAAATACCCACTGGATATAACTTATGTTCTGATTCTTTCTATATTTCTCAACTTATCTTAATTCTTCTTTACTATCTTCTAAACACTTCTATCTTCTTCTATACTTCTCATTTCCTCTCCTTTAATTCATTTTAATTCTAATTCTCTATTTTTTTATACATTCTGATTATTTTTACATACATATCATTGTTTTAAATTGTTATTAAAAAAGATTAAAAAAGATTGTTATTAAGAAAGATTAAAAAAGATTGTTATTAAAAAAGAAAAGAAATTAGAAATGTATTGAATTGAGATGACTTGATGCGTGAAAAATTAAATGCTTAGAGATTAAGTTGTTTTCAGTTAATATTAGTGTTGCTTTTATACTTCTAGATATCGATTTTCATTTACAAATTCGTTAAATTTTTGATCAGCGATTTTATCCATATCTTTTCTTCAAGTCTTTGTTCTTGATGGGATCGTGCACTTATGTGTTCGTTCAGACTTCACCGGTGTATTCGTATGTTGCCTCGTCCGTTCGAATATTCTGTGTTCTATGTGCATGCGTTCGCTTCGGATTAACTAACAATATTTCTGTATCGGAATGTACGGACGACGTATAACGTCGTTAGTTGCGTACCCGGACTTCCGCCTGACATCGCGGCCTTGACGACTCTACGACTGACTCTCAATCTGCACGATGATTGTCCACTTGATCTTTTTTGGGAAAAGGACCCAGAAACTCCAAAATAACCTTTTTCGATAACATCTTATGTAATTAATTTGATTTTGCAGTAATATAATCCAAAGCCAATAATATGTATTAATCATTCAAACCCAAATTGCTGTATCTTTTACATTGCCAGGCCTATTTGAGCATCACTAAGCAATACTATATAATATTTACAACATACAGTTTGTACAAATATTTTAGCTTTAAATTATTTTTAATGCCAGCTTTGAGGCGCGATAAAGATAATTTATGTATTTACAAACATAAATAGGTTGTTAAAAATTAACAACTATGTACGAATGAACTATTGTGCTGGTAACTTCCTATATGTCTATCTCGTTCAAGAACAAAATCTATAGTAGACTGTTATATACTGTATCAGTACTGTAATCCAAAATTTAAAGACTATAACGATCCTGCATGTTCACTAATTTCCAATTTTACTTATATTTTATTATTTTAGTTAAGCACTACCATCGATTAATTTAGACTTTATTAATTAATAGCAAGAATTTTATTTCTAACTAATATACTTATACTTTAAGGGGCACAACTAGTGTGAAATTTTCAAAAAATCAAATTTTCAATTTTTTCATATTTCAATAGGTTATACCTTTAAAAATAACATACCAAAATTTTAAATCGATATCTTAAATAGTTTTTGAGTCACAGCCATTTAAAGAGTATATATTGTATATAGTATAAAGATCATTTTATCTTTAAACGCGTTTTTCTCGAAGCAGCATTTTCCGAATTTGCTGCAGCGATTACTCAAAAACAAATGATCTGATCACTATCAATTTTTTTTACATGTTCTATATATAATTATGTTCGTAAAATGAATTATCGATTTTTTGATCGAATCAAAAATCGAATTTTGGCAGTCTAAAAACGATCAAAAATTTGTGTAAAATTCGACTTTTATTTTAAAAACGCCGCCATTTTGTCAATTTTTGATTTTTTTTCTTTATCGTAGTTCATTTTACAGACAATATTATCTAGTTTAACGAGATTTTTTTTTTAAATTTCATCCACGTAGAAGGCCGGAATCACTGCAGCAGTGAAGGGCCTTTTTTTTTGTCGCGCCGTTGGGGATCGACGATAACTTAAAAAATATTTAATTTTTTTCTTCAAAACTTTTACTATGTATTCTTAAAACATGTATAAATATATTCCTAAAATTTTGAAATGATTGATAAAGCAGTTTTTTTAATATAAATTCACAAAAAATCACCTTTTTTTAGGCGGTTGCACTAATTATGCCCCTTAAATCAATATAAGAATGTGCAATGAATTAATTTACTAAACCCTTATATTATTAAAAGTATCTTATTCCTGTTTGACCCAAGAAAGTGATTTTACCCCAATTTATTTAATTATTTAATAATTTAGGATAAATCACAGTTCCAACCATCACCGTTTTGCATTGAATATATTATCGTCACAATGGTCGGTCTTAATTACCATACTCATTATAACAATATATTTATGTAAAAGTTGTGAAACTATTTGAATTAAATGTTTTGTCTTGCATTTTGAGATTTAAACTCACTTGACTTGGTTTAGACATTCAGAAATTTTTGGAGCATGTATTACGAAGACAACATATTGATGGAGAAAGACGCTTGTTCTTCAATATTTAATGGACAACCTTATTTATTATTTACATGCAAGACAGATGTTTTGTTAAAGGACGATTTTTTGTGATATGTTAAAATTTTATAAATCATATAAATGTTTTGAAATCAATAAATACGTTAACTTTCTTAGAGCAATAATATATAAAGTTCATTAATTGCTTATGAATTTTTAACACGATTTTTATAACCTCAACATCAATTAATTTTTTTGGTCAATGGAAACTGATTCAATAAAAATTATATAGTCAAATGCAAATTCACAGTTTCTCATAATATATAGTACACGTCTATTAATGAAATGCTCATTAATATATATTGTTGTTTGAACCTATGTCTAACAATTTAATTATTATCTTATGTATGATTGATTACGTTAAGAATTAAGATTGTATATGATTATTAATTATTATTTTTTCTTTCAGGTAAACGAAAACTCGGAAACTAAACGCACCATTTAATAAAAGCTTTACCATGAAGCTTCTACCTGTACCTCTTGCGCCCGTTTCTCTGCCGCCTCCAGGCCAACCCTCTTCACATCCCTCCACTCCCACACTGCTACATCCCCATCAGTCCCAATTGTCTTCACATCATCATGTTCATCATCAACAACACGGAGGTGGCCCCTATTCTCCATCGGCAGCCGATTTTTCCTTTTGGCGGTACCCCTCATCCCAATTGAGTGCATACGCAGCAGCCGCTGCTGCTAACAATTCTACTACAACTGGCGGATCAGGAGTACCACTTATAGCTCCGGTTCCTGCACTAAGTGGGCTTGGTGGACCAGCTGGAGTCACCACAGCAGGAGGTGGTCCATTACCGCCTCCATTAGGAATTGATCCTCGGTTGTGGGGAAGAGAAGATGTAGCTGCATTTTTAAAATGGTGCGAACGAGAGTTTGATCTGAGGGAGTTTGATATGGACGCGTTTCAGATGAATGGTGAGCTGAGAAATATATAGTAATTAATATATTAGTCTAAATGTAAAAGCAGAGATAATATTTACAATTTTATCTAGAAGATTCCTACAATTATTTTCCTAATATATTTTTGATCTTCAATATTTTTATTTCTTTTCAGGAAAAGCCATGTGTCTTTTAACTAAAAACGATCTATCAGAACGTTGTCCAGGAGCAGGTGACGTTCTTTACAACGCACTTCAAATGTTAGTACGCGATGCTGCATTACTTCAAAGGTGTCTGCCCGGGTCACCAGTTACCCCGACGTCCAGGCATCACACGTGGCCCCACCTTCTTGCTACTGCCCAAGTAAGCAAAGATTTAATAAACCTAACTTTTGAAATTTTGGAAAAGATATTTTTACAAAATAGAGCTTAGAGGTTCTTAAGAATTAAATTTATTTAAAAATCACAAATCGTAACATATAAAAGTAACCTTGACCCAATGATCTAATTAAATTATAAAAGTTTTGAATGAACAATTTGTATATAATAATGTGAATTACTACTTCTAAATCATTTACTCTATGATAGCCTCATATGATATAAATCATTTATCTCAGGATGCTGCTTTTCATGGACATCTTGCTGCAGCAGCTCACTTTGCATCACAGCAACATGCAGCCGCAGCAGCTGCTGCCGCATCCGTTGCCCTAAGTCCTGCTCCTTCACTGGATAGCCAGCAAGGCAGCCCACAGCATGCTGACCAGCAGCAACAACAACAACAGCAGCAAATGCAACACCATGCCAACGGATCAACAGTTTCATCTGTTACGCATCAACAGCAGCAACAGCAAGGATCGGCGCCTGTGGCACCTGCTCATGCAATTGCTGCTTCTATGTATCAAAGCAATGGACGGTCTGATAGTGAAGACGATGAGTGCCAGGTAAATAATAGAAATAGTGAAATAATAATAAAAATTTCATATGTTTTCATCATAAATCAATAATATTTAGCAGAATTTCAGTATGAATTATGCTTCTATAATCTTACACTTATTTTCAAAATTATATTTAATTCAACAAATATTAATTATTTTTAATTTTTACTCTGTTTTTCATAATCATACCAAGTCAAATTGAAGCTCTTTATTATATCTTCAGTTCAGTAAAATAAAATTTCAAATAGACTTAATAATGATTTTTTTTTCAGGACACAAAAAGTGCATTATCTTTAAACAATGGTGTTTCTCCACCGGGCACACCAGGTTTACCACCGCCTTCCGGATATTTATCATTCCCGATGCAGCAGGCTCCACCAAGATCACCAGTTGAACTAAAAAGTCCTGCGCACTTTAGGGCTTCTTCTGGACATGGCGAATTTTTCCAAACTGAACCTTCGGAACCAAACACAAGTAAGTCTATTTGAAATAATACTAATAATACCAAAGTTTTTTCTTAAATCCATTGTTTAAATGCAGCTATGATTATTGTCTCATTTTATATTTTTATTTTCTTTCTTTTTTAGATGGTCGACTTCTTTGGGACTTCTTACAACAGCTTTTAAATGATTCTTCTCAAAGATATACAAACTATATTGCCTGGAAAAATATTGAAACTGGTGTCTTTAAAATTGTGGACCCTGCAGGACTGGCTAAACTTTGGGGAATACAGAAAAATCATCTTTCTATGAACTATGACAAAATGTCCAGAGCTTTGAGATATTATTACAGAGTCAATATTTTGAGAAAAGTGCAAGGAGAAAGACATTGTTACCAGTAAGTACAAATATTATTATACCTATAATTCAAATAACTTGTTTATTTTATTTTAGTAAAATGCTTACTTTTTTATAATACTATATTAAATTATCAAATATTAAACCTATATGATGTGGTTATTATATACAGTTTTTGAATAATAGTGAATGAATGGGTTTTTAATATGCTTTGCTTGTGTTGTAAATATTTGTTCTTTTCATGGAAGACATTATGCTTATAAGTACTATTTTTTCAGGTTCCTTAGAAATCCATCAGAACTTAAAAATATAAAAAATATATCACTTCTACGTCAACAAATGTCACCAACGAGAGTGAATTCAACCACACCTGTGAACCAACAACAAGTAGTCCAAACATCAACTCAATCCCACCAACTCACTGTACCAACTCCAGTTTCTAGAAGTTCACCTATTGTCAGTACTATTCCTTATTCACCAGATTTGACTGCAACGATTAAAACTGAACCTAGGTTGGATGATGTTGATGTTGAAAATAATAGCATGGAAGATGAAATGCCCACTGATCTCAGCATGATGAGCAGTAATAGTGAATTGAGAGCCACAGATCTAAGTGCCAAATATAATGGACACAGGATTAATATGATCATGAATGGTAGTCATTCAACATATGATAGTATAAAAGTTGATAATGAGAGTAAATGAGATATGGTAAGATATTATATGGATTTCTATGTAACTAGTTGATACTTGAGATTTTAAGCACATGTTGGCATTGGAATCATATGCATAAATGAGATATATTTAGATAATTGAAAATGGTGAATTTGAATACTTGTGAATGATCAATTTCTTTGAGTTATCATTGATGTTTTTAATTATGATGTTTTAACTCAAATGGCTGTATTTATCTTTACTTTGAAAGCGTAGAACTTTAATGTTGTTACAAATTTTAATATTTAGGTTGATCAGGTAAAGTTATTACCTGAATTGACACAACTTCTCATCTATTTCTGAAGAAGCAAAGAAATGATATTCCAAAATAAGTTACAAGTTCTAAATTTTTTCCTTCACTAGACTTTCAATGCTTAGAAGTTTTTATGCAATTTACCTAATAATTTTAACAATCTTCCATGAATGAAGATGATTGTTAATATAACTAATTATATCTTTAATCAGAATGATTAAATATTATTTGTGTTATGGGAATGAATGAACCTATTACTAGATTGAATGACTCAGTACTGCCATGTATTTTAGAACTCATTATTAAATTTTTGCAATGTGGCGTTGAAAATTGTGGTTGTAAACTTATAAGGATATAGTGGTGAAGTGATTAGTTCATAAAGAAATTGTGCCAATGGAATTTATTATATTGGATCTTAGCTATAGTAAGTTTGATTTAATTTTTATTGGAAATTTAAGATAATTTTCAATAAAGCTGTTAAGGCGATTATAAAAGACTATAATATGTTTAATATTTGTATAAACCTAATATTGCTTTATAATGCACAGATTATATAAAAATAAATATTATAGAATACTATATATTGAAATTGGTATTCAAAAATATGGTTTAATATAGCAAAGTTTATTTTTATACATTAAATTTACTTATGTGCCAATACAATATTATATGAAATGTAAAGTAATTACTTATGAAACTTATTGTAACTTTCTCAAACACATAAGTAAATGCTTTATACTTCATAAACTAAAATGTTTAAAACTGTTGTGAAAACTAAAAACGTGATAAGAGTTGTTTTACAATTAATTAAATAATTTACTACAAGAACATTAATCTTCTGCAAAATTTTAATTATATTTAACATTCCGATTAAATTTAATTTTAAATTAATCGAATTACCAAGTATATGATTATTTTTAATGCAATTTTCTGATTATAATTAAGTATAGCAGACATGATGTAAATCCAGCAAGACTGTGATATATCTTATGTTTAGACCATTAGAAAAGTTATGAAATTTTTAAAGATATGGAAAAATTTCTGTGACTGGCAATATTTAGAGATAATTAATATGTACAAAATCTACCCTAAATATATTGGTAAAATAAATAAAATTAGTATATGGCCCATTATACAATTTTTATCAAAATTATTTTTTTGTAAATCTATAGCAAATTATTTTTTATACATAAAGTACAAATATTTTTGGTAGATTTGGTTTTCAGCACTTAAGCCACACTTCATATTATTTAGCAATGAATTTTCAATGAAACTATAAATAGATGTAGAATTGTAGAACTTCATTGTTATTGAGTGTTGAATAATTGAATAAATATAATAAAATTTAAATTAGATTGATAAAATAAAACAACTATACATAGTGAATAAATGGTATGTAAATAGTTTTATATATGAGAAAAAATAAAGCTTTAATGATAATAATTTGTTTACTAATTGTTGTTTAAATAAAGAATTCAAGGCTCTTAAAATATGTGTTATTTATAAAACACTTATACATAAAAATTCATTTTGTATCTATTTTAGAAAATACTAGTTAGCTATATATACTTAAATCTAATGCATTTGAAAGAATATCACATCATCTGCTATTATGGAAGTTGTATGTCTCGGTTTGCCATCCTCTCCATTAATTTCTGAGTAACTGATTCGCCCGGTGACATGAACTCTTTGTCCCTTTTTTAGATGGTTGTATACGGACTCTCGCAAGGAAGGTCTGAATACGCAAACTCGATGCCAGTCTGTTTTTTGCAATAGTTCACCACTTTCGTATCTGAAGAAAATAAGGATATGATTGAATAATTAATCTGAACATATATAAAAGAATCTAAATATATAGCTTATAGCCAAGCAGCTTATAAAATTACTTGTAATTTGAATGAGTAGCAACAGAGAACGTGACTACAGGATGCTCTTCGCTTCCTCTTTTTTGTGGCTCTGCCCCAACCCTTCCAAGTAAAGTGACATTGTTTATAGCTGAAATACAAACAACATTTATACATATATATTGTTTATCTTGGTAAATGACTCAAATCAGTACTAACATTTTTCTATTCTCGTAGGCTCATTATTACTCGCAGAACACGAAAGAATCTTGAATGAATTTTGTATTTTTGCGTTTTTAACAACATTGGCAAGCTATTAAAGAAAACATTTGGATAAAACATAACCTATAAGATAAATATCAGTTTGCTCGTATTACCTTTAGGGAGAACATTTTTGAAATAGGATCCTGAAAACTATTTATTATTGAACTAATATGTAAAATAGTAACTTATTCTTCTATAATTATTTTTCACAGTATTTTTCTTAAACCTAAAGTTAATTTCGGAAAATGTGATCTGGTTATTTTCTGTTTGGAATGGTTTTGCGCTAAAATACAACTTCAGAGCATTTTTATTTTGTTGGTACATCTTGAAATGCTCGTTTCTTATTGGTCTGTCTGTTTGAGCTTTGATTTTTATAACCTCTCAATTTTAGACGTTTAGGAGATTTACAACGATACATTTGTATTTTTATTTACTATATTTTAAGGATTATTAATATGCAACATTTATTAGGATTTCGCGAAGTTATACCTGATCAAACAATTCCAGAAAAATGGCAAGAAATAAAATTAAATACCGGTAAGTTATTTGATTGCACAGTGTTATATTGTATATTTAAACATGCAATAAATTTTACTGATAAATCATTAATTTTAGGGGGTACTCAGAGTACTTTGCAAGATATAAAGATGACTGAAAGAGCTGGAGGCTATGCTTTCAAAGACACCAGTAAATCCTATACTCGAAATAGATTTATATACTGGTAATCATTCATTATTTTTCATTAATTCCTTTCATATCTCTCAATAAAAATAATATCTATTTAGGAGAAGCAATCATGATATATTAGAATTGGTTGACACCAGCTTGGATCTCAATTTATCTGGAAATCAATTGCGTTTGAAGTTTATGAATTCTCCTTTGCTTGATGGTATTACCATTTACGAGGCCAATGGATTTGTGATGTTGTTAGTAGCTACTGTTAGTAGTGTACATAGGATAACATTTCCACATCCTGATAGTATTCATCGAAATGTAAGCAGTTTGTATTTATAAAGTTAAAAAGTACACTACTTTTTATCAATAAATAGTATTTTTATATTTCATTTGATATCAACTTATACTCTAATAATTACAGCATAAATAATTAGAGTTTGGCATGAACATTAAAAAAATTGTTGCATGAGATTTGTAACATATTTAGGTTGAATATTTATTGGCTAATATAATTCTCTTTAAATTTGTGAAAAAATATAAACCATAAAGTTAATAAAATTATTTTCTTTTAAGTTAATTATTGCTTTAAAATACATGATTTTTATTTATTTTTAATATCTTTGTTAAATCTTTCAGGATAAATTTTCATTGCAGAATGATATAACTGTACCTTCTATATTTCATGATGGTAATCATTCTCACAATTGCCATGTTCTCACTAATACAGGTAACATAGCAATTAATGAATCTCAAGTAATTACAAAGTTTGAGTTATTATTTTGTAATATTAATTTAAAATTGTAGGTGCACCATTACCCAATACTGCAGCAAGTTGGCTATCTCCAAATGCAGATTATGGTGTATTTGCATTAGCTTTTAATTCTGGTACACTTACTTGTGTAACAATGGACTATACATCTGGAAATATCACCAGCATTGACATGAAAGAAGATTCCTATGTACCAAAATTTATTTCAAATTTTACAGGAGCATTGAGGTGTGATAGGAGTCTTTTATAATAATATTGTTCTTGTATTTAATTGAATCCAATTATTAGTTGAATATTTTAAAAAAAAAAACAATTTTTTTCAGGGGAAAGAGTAATGAAAGTCATTCATGTAGTAGTTTAGCATTGATACCCTTAAATAAAGAAATATTCTTATTTGGTGCTTGTCGTGATGGTGAATTAAGAATGTGGAATGTAAAGCGTGGATCCTGTGTGGCTTCATGTTCTTTATCAGCTGGGGGCTTTGATGTGAAACATCTATTACCAGGAGGTTGATATTATTGTTTTTTTTTTAAATTGAATATATTAGTGTCACCTATATATTATATTGTAAATAAATCAAAGTGAGGTTCATTTTCAATCTATATTACTATTACTATTATTTTATATTTTTAAATTATTATATTATTATATTTTTAGTATTATTTATCAGTTAGATTTGAAAAGGTTTAATTATGATGTATTAGTAACATTGCTTTTAAGAATAAGTTCATATTAATAATAAGCATATTCTATTATTTTTAGCTCAAGGCCACGTAGTGCGCTATTGTATTGATAGTACAGGTGCTATATTACTAGCAATATTTTTATGTCTTGGAAATGAGAGTCAAATTGTTATATTTAAGCCTGTTATGGAGCAATCATCATATAAATTTTTACGAGTTGCCAGCTTGTTTGCAGAACAGGTAAACTTTTATTCAATTAGTATCACTGATTTAAATACATTTATTTAAATATAAATATTTTATTTATTTCATCATGATTTAGTAGATATGGCTTTAAGTGAAACTCATATTTGGGCATTATGGTCAAATTCACAGGTATTTGTTTGAAATGATATATAAATATATAAGTAATTTCACTTGGGTTTTCATTAATTGGGTTTGAAAATTTATTACAAACTTATCACTATATGGAAAATAACTTATATTTTTTATATTCACTTAGGAGAACCGTCACTTAGTTGTTTGCTATTTAATAATCATTTTGGACTGGGTTTACAATGGATGTCGGCATCTTTAGAGTCAGGTAGAGAACGAGACTGCTTAGGTGTAGAAATTGGAACTGATCCTAGGCAGTTGTATTGTTCGTATATCTTTCATCCAGGCCAATTTCAATTATCAGTCATAAATAAAGCACTTAGTGTAAGTATATATTCTTTTATCTTATTAATAAATTAAGTAATTAGCTGAAGTAGAGCATAAATATTAGATTATTTTAGTAATAATACACTAAAATTTTAGATATATAGCCGTCAACCACTACTGAATGAACTAAATATGTCCGCTTCCATACTTAAGGAAAAAGTGTGTCAGGCTGTGGAATTAGAGATTCATTCAGAAGTTGAAATGTGCGAAATAAAATGATGATGTTTATCTTGAAATTGCTAGCAGGTATATATTATATCTTATATGAAATAAACATATGAATATAAATGAAAAAAAAAATTATTCACCAAAAAGATCTTATTTTGAGTTTTTTTTCCAATTATTTTTATTTTATACAGATAATTATAGGAATATGATATATAAAATTGATATAAAATATATAATTATCTTCTAATTTAGATGCTGGTCAAGATTTTATTCATGCTGTTTGCAATATCATTTATCAGGAGCACGACCATTAGGCCTTGTTACATTAGATCAATCTTGTGGAGCTGCATTAGTTCGCAGATCCTTAATATCCATCATCAGACCAGTAGAACCTATTGAACATCTAGTTCTTTGTGGTGACTATAATACCACTGTACAGAATTTTTCCTGCACTCCATATCTAATGAATAAACCAGGATTGAAAGAGTTAATTAAATTGATATCTGGTCTTGTTATGATTGAAAGAAGGCTTCCTGATGAAGTCAAAAGCGTTATGGAAACTGATTTATATAAATTAAAGAAGCCATCATTGATAATAACAGAATTGGTGACTAGTCTGAAGATGAGAGAGGACGAGGCAGTAAGTAAATTGAATGAGTTTTTTTTTTAAATGTTACCCTTATAAGTTCCGTTAATATTGAGTCACAAATATTTATTTGTTGAAGGTATTCTCAATGGAATTTTTGGATGAACTGTGGCAACAAGTGGGTTCTTTAGAAAGCCTGAATGAAGCAATTAATCTTTTGTTAAGCATTTTAGATATTGAGCAAAATGAATATGGTGCTATATTCAATGACAGTAAGTTCATATTTGTGATTGGAACTTCAGTTGTATAAATGTTTTATTTGTATATATTAATATCTTCTATTGCAGTCAGTAAACAAGCTTTTTCATCGATGTCAGTAAGTCATTTGTACGGCAGTCATTTTGGCATGTCTCTGATTGTGGAATCACTACGTCAAGTTGCTACAATCAGGTAAGAAGAAGCTCTGTTATTTGTTGTGATATTTTTGTATCAAAATTATTTATCTATCAGTTTTTATTTATTCTATGTCAGTTTGTGTAGAAATATGTTAATATTGTTGCAACTTATGGCTGAAGCAGATTATGGCAATAATGCTTTTCTGCAATCAACACAACTGCATATCCAGGTTCTTCTTCAAATTTATCATATCATGTTATGGCTTTGTGAAACACCTACTAGTCCAACTCTGCCTACAAATATGCTGTAAGTTATTTCGAGGAATTGGAGATTTGGTTGGAAAGAATAAAATTCTTCTTACAACTAAGTCATTGTTTATGTTTCAGTGAAAGCAGTATTCTCCGTTTCTCTTCTTTGCAATTGAAAACAAATCTCCCATCACCAATATCAGTTTCAAGAAGAACTTTAACACTGCTTGAATTATTTTTGATGGGTGTTGGAGCTTCTAAAGTACTGATCGATATGTCCAAATTCAAAATAAATAATATTGAGTCATGGCATTCTTCAATGCTGTCGTATATTCATATTCTATTGAAGATAATGTATCCTTTATAAATTATATACAAGTACCACACATTTATTACATTATTTTTTAAAATCCTACATCTGAAAAAGAAAAATGTTTTTCAAGATTAGTTTAAAAAAAAAAAAAAACTTTTTCAAAAAATTTTGCTATTTCTAAACTAGAAAAATTGTCAATAAATTTGAATGTGAACAGAATTAACATGCAAATGTTTCTGTCCAGCTTTCACAAAATATAGTTTAAAATTATTTAAAATGACTAAAGTATTAATGTTTTGTTTAATTCCAGTATTACATTATTTACATAAATGAATAATTACTATTTCTGTTTATTTGTATTTTTCTTATAATATATAAAGCTGGCCTCTTAATGACAAATTTGCATTTAGCGAATGGCTTGTTGGCAGTGCACAACATTTATTACTCCAAGAATATGTGCGTTTGCTTTATTGGTGTGATTGGAACTATTGCAGTCGTAAGTAAAGTATTACATTACATATTACAAAAGTTCACTTTTTATGATATTTGTTTAACTTGTAAAATTTCTTTTAGGACAATTATTTTCTTGGTGTTTCACTTCTTGAAACCGGTGAACCCTACAAGGCTTTGGACTTATTTTTACAAGCTTCACAGGGGATTTCAAATGAATCATTTTTAGTGAGAAAAATTCTTTCAGGAAAATCAGAGAATTCTATTCAAGATCGTGTCACCTATTACTTAAAGGTACAATATAAGAAGACCCAAATTTCTTCAAATGTACTCAAACTATGATAGTATTTACTAGTATTTTACTCGCTTTAACAAATACAGTGTGCAAACATGATTCATGTTGATTCAAATTAAATCTGATTAAACCTGTAATCAAATTGATTATATTCTTTACAGGTATTAAATTATTTGAAGAACATGGAGCATCAGATTGTATAATAACTTTGGCAAAAACAGCAATTGACATTGCTCCTGCAGATGATCCAAATGTTGTGAGTTTTTTTTCCATATTTTGATCTTACCATGATATTATTTACAATTTATTCCAATATTTGATAAATATCACTTTTCAGGCTATGTTTCACTCCACTCATGTTTAAAAAACATTTGCTTTTAGAGCATTTTGAAGATGCTTATAGATCTTTAAGTTATAATCCTGACAATAATATGAGGAAAGATTGTCTACGAGAATTAGTTGGGCGTTTTGTTCTCAAAAAAGAAGTTAGATATGCTATTATCATTTCCGTATATAGAGTTTATGATGATTTCAAAAAATTGTGGAAGGAAGAGCAAGGGCTTCTGATATAATGACAACACAATATTTACACTTTTTATATTCTTTTTATATAAATGTAGGAAATATGAGAAA